TTATCACAATCAGATGCTATCTGCTCCAAGTGGCTTATTGTCTTTCTGTCTGTCTGTAAAGGAAGAGACCAGGCAGCACTGCAGCCCTCAAACCACCTTGTAAAGAGACCCACAGATTCTGGATTCTGATGAGGATTCATGATCTGAACCACTTCGTGAATGAATCAAGTTGAATCAGCTTTTCTGCTTTGGAATACCAGGTGGGTGGATTCCTTCTTCGTTCCAGTATGTACTGTAAAAACATTGCTACAAAAGCAGCCCTTAATAATAATAATAAGCTGGATCATACAATCAACTTGGTGATATCTATATCTCTATATCTATATCTATATCTATATCTATATCTATCTATATCTATCTATCTATCTATCTATCTATCTATCTATCTATCTATCATCTGTCTATCATCTATCTATCATCCATCTATCTATCTATCTATCTATCTATCTATCTATCTATCTATCTATCTATCATCTATCTATATCTATCATCTATCTATCTATTTCAATTAGTCTAAGCTAATACCTGGTGGTACATTACTTCTTCCACCAGCAACTTATGTCTACTTTTACTTACTCTATAAGCCCCAGTTCCCACTTTCAGCATAACTGCTCATTCCCCATTATAAAAGCTTTTCATTCCCTTGGCTCTCTTGCCTTCCATCACTAGACAGTTTTAAAAAAATTTCATTAATGTTCCTCCTCCCCGGCCTGTATTTGAAGATACAATCAATAACATGCAAGGAATCACCAGAATCATTTATTTGTAAAGACCCCTGTAATGAAGAGACACTTCCTTTATGAGGCAAACAGGCTGCAAAGTGACCATTCATAAACTCATTAACCAGTTGCCACAGTCTTCCTCCTTTTTTGCTCCCAAGCTAGTACACACTTGAGAACTACAAAAATTAATCTGAGGACAGGGGAGCACTCATAGGAAGCCCTCCGGTTTTCCAGGGAAGTGCCCAATCCATGCAATAACAGATCGTAAAAGATGGGCATGAGAGATCCTGAGCTAGCAGAATGTCGACCACAGAGCTTGAATCAAAGCCTTTTAGAAAAGTACTCAAGATAAAGTGAGTTAAGAGAGATAGGAGGTTGCATCCCAATGAAAATAAACAGCTATTTCCAGACTTCATACCGTGAGTGTTTTTAAGGAACAACAGCATCCTTATTTGGGAACCCTCTGGAGGATGAAGCCAGCATGCTGTGATCTTTAGGTGTTGCATAAACAGAAGGTGGAATCATTTAATCAGCCAGGGTCACATGGATGACAATCTTAGCACCTTGTTTTGCAAATGGAAACAATTTTAAGAGGTGTAAACTAGAAGAAATGTCACTCTTCACTTTCTGCTAAACAGATTAACATGGGAAAACATTGTCTTCTTCTTCTTCTTGTTGTTGTTGTTGTTGTTGTTGTTTCTTGCAAAGCTCTGATTTAGGCTACCTAGTTAGCCATCTTGCTCCTGCTGAAGGATAGGGTCTTTGGCAGATAGAGTGGTTTTTAAGAAGAAAGCAGAGCTGAAGCTTTGGATTCCATTGCAACACCTAATATGGAGCTGGGGAATCTGTGGCTACACTGGGTGGTGTGGAACTCTGGCTTCCATGGGCCCCAGCCAGCATGGTTAATGGTCAGGAATGAAAGGATTTGGAGTCCATCAACACTGGTAGGGCACCTGTCAGGGACTGGGCAGAGGAGGAATGGTGGAGATGGCCTCCCCAGCTTGTCCCTTCCAGGGAGTAGGAAGAGGAAGACAGTATAGATTTACAGTTGGGGTTTGAGGGAGGTCACAGCTCAGAGGCAGATGAGAGGGAAAGTTGGGAAATAGTGGGTGAGGAGGAGGAGGAGGAAGCAGCAGGGGGGTGACAGCTGACGGACGCAGTGTATTTAGAAAGCATTCCAGACACCTTCGAACCAGGTGAACCTTGAAAGTAGGAGAACAAAGAGCTCAAAGACAGAGGGCATGTAGCAGGAGAGACAATGAGATTGACGAATGAGGAAGTGGAAGAGATGGGGAGCTGGAGATTCACTTGAGACAATGCCATTATCCAAGAGGCTGGGTTCTATAACCTCTCTATGTAAATACTGAATAAAAAGCAGATGGTAAGAAACATTTCCTTGTCTTTGTATGTTCTTGGGCAACTGGCCGGGAGTTGCTGGCAGCAGCCTGACAGCACAACATTCACTACTAAAGGTGTAGACAACACTGAGTTAGCTGTATGAGTTTCTTTCCTTTGTGGAGGTCTACTCTGTCTCCTGAACTTGGCAAGTGGACTGGAGCTGTGTGCACTTGAGGATTATGAAATAGATCCTTGCTCAGGAACATATAGAATCCTCGTTGGCAAAAAAGAGAAAGAAATCGATCTACTCTCAAGTAACTGAAGAGTGCAGAGGACTAGACGTTCACACAGGCAGAATTTTACAAAGCAGTTGATGGGAATTGATGTGCAAAATGTCCGGAGGGTCTCAGGTTGGCATGAGATACCCTAGAAAGAAAGGCAGAGTTACTGTAAATTATGAATCCAGATAAATTGCAGATATCAGATTGGATCCAGGCTGCAATCCTAAAGCCTCCTACCTGTAAGTCGCACTGAATTCAATGAGACTCCTCAGAGTAGACGTGGTTTGAATTGCAGCCTTAGTCACAACTGAGGTCCCATTGACTTCAATGGGTCTACTCTAAGCATGGCCAAAGCTGGATCCAACCCATCCATAACCATAGAGATATTTTTGTAATTATGAAATAGTCATGCCCTTTTGCAGTCTCCATTTGAGGAGGGGAGAGGGACCTATGAAACAGCCAGATCCTATTTTAAAATACTGAGATGCTCTCCCATGGAATCACACAGTTTTAAATGGCTGACTTACTGCTAGCAGCAAGTGTAGGCTTGCATAAAAGGATTTAATTTATCAAGTGCTTGGGGACATTATCCAATTGCTTAATACCTCCTTGACTGACGGTCAAACAAGATAATTGTAACGCTGTATTTGCGAATATCTGAATCTTACTAGAAGTGTGGTGTGTAATCCCTTAATCTGAGGGGAAAGGTACCATAATGATTAAGATAACTGCCTGACAGCCCTTGAACTTCCTTATGTTTTTAAACATAAAGTAAACACTTCTATTGAACTGGGCTGTGCTCAGCATGGATTACTTTAGCTTTGAGAACAGCAATAGAGAACAATAAAACAAGGCTTGCTTGGAACACACTCTGTTTATTAGATGCAGTCCACACAACTTCAGTTTTGGAACATCACCTGTTGAATATCAATAAAATGTTTACTCAGATGCTGAAAACACATTTTCAGTCATGCTGAGTGCCATAAGCCTTGCCTTTGAAAGCTGGTAAAAATATAGAAAACATTTTTGGAATCAGTTGTCTTGTAGCTCACAGTCCTTGTTCTTATGATGTGAAAATATTTTTTTCCAGCTCTTTTTCAAATCTGTTTGCAAATGATTAATGTCATTTTCAAAAATGTGTTAGATAATGAGCCATATTAGAAAGGCACTTTAAGACTTGTTCTACATTTCCCCCCAGCTGTACTGATGGTGCAGTATGTTCAAATTGTTAACAACAACAACAAATTTTATTTGTATCCCGCCCTCCCCTTTCGGAGCTCGGCTCAGAGCAGCTAACATCATATAAAAACACAATATACATAAAAACAAACAATCAATCAATTAAAATGCATCCCAAATTAATTCAATTAATTAATTAATTCAAATAAATTTAAATGATGGTGAAATTATGATAGGATTACTTTGAATGTATGGGGTGTTTCATGAAATGGTGAAAGCAGAATTTTTTGCCATTTATATTCTGATCTTTAGATCTTTCAGTGAAAGTGGACTGTGAACGGTAGTAGTAGTAGTAGTAGTAGTAGTAGTAATAATAATAATAATAATAATAATAATAATAATAACAATGGCCCCAGATGGTATGTTTGATGTTGTTAGGTCCAGTGATTGTGTTGTCTGGGTATATGTGGCAGCAAAGTTGGCATCTGGGTTTATTGCTACTATTGTTACTAGAATTACTCTTTTCCCCTGCCTTTCTTCTCTTCTCTCCCTCTTTACTGATTTTCTCTTTCCTGATGTGTGCAGAAACTGACACACTATTCCTAATGAAACACTCTTCAAATGCCATAGAGAGGCAGTGGCTTCTCTCTACTTCACATCAGGATTCTTTTATCTTGTCAGCTTTTATGTGACATAAAGGAGGGGGGGAAACATTTTCCCCCCCCAACACTAGATATTTTTCAACATCTACAGTTTATGAGTTTCTCTCCATAGTTAGAACTGGCAGATGTCGCTCATTGCTTTCCTGGCAATTACCTTTCAGCAGGAGGACATTCATAATAGATAGATAGCCTGGAAAGCAGACGACACAGTATTGACATTGCATGGACTTTTAGATACTATTTGGTTTTATATATATATATTTTTTAAAATGACGTTGTTTTGGCCCGTCAGAAAAAGCCCGAAATGCATTACAGGATAATGCATTTATCAGCTTAATTAAAATGTCACAAACGTGTGAGCAAGCTTTTGAATTCTCCATGACCCTTCGTCAAATATTTGATGAAGAACTCTGGAGAACTTGACCATGATTTGGTGATGTTTTATTGGCCTACTGATGGCATTGCCCCATTATGGAGTTCGGTTTCTTGTGTGTCTATGGCAGTGTTTGTATTTTTCTCAAGCCATTTCACTCCAGGGAAGACTAATTCCTGGATTGTGACACAAAGTGAAGGAAATTAGATAGTAAACATGCTATGATTCATAGCATTCACAGTGTAAGGATTGCCAGCCAGCAATCAGCAAGTGAGACAGCAGCAGTGTATCCTTATTCCCTAAGAGATGTGTTCCTTTTCATGTCTCCAGACACTCACTCTCCAAAGAAAGTGAGCTTTAGGCATGGTTGTAAACTCGGGGTTCTAAAATGCACAGGGAGACTGCACAAGCACAAGAGGTTCCCCACTGCCAAACAGCTGTTGCAATGGATGTGCACACACTGAGTGGGACTAAAAGTGGTGCTGACAAGACGCGTTTTGAAGTAAAGAAGTGGAATGCAGTTGCACTCTGGGCTTGGGACATCGTGGTTGACAACTGTGCCATTTGCAGAAACAATATTATGGCTCAAGCTAACCAAGCATCAGATACCTCCGAAGAATGCACTGTTGTCAACACACTGTTGGCAGGTGTGTACATTAGACGATCGAGAATGGGAATTCCAGAAGTATGGGCACTAGTAGGAGAGAGAAGACCACTAAGTTTATTGTTCTGTCTTCAGATAAGCCTTTCACCTTGCAAGCAGGTTGATGAAGTCTGTGTAACTTAATAGACACTTACCCTGCTATTTGTTTTCACCTTAAAATAGTTATTGTGAATAGTAATAAACATGTTTGTCTCCTGGCAGGAGGTTCCCCACTGCCCAAGTTCACCTCAGGGAAGGCTATCAAAATACAGTGGTACCTCGAGTTAAGAACTTAATTCATTCTGGAGGTCCGTTCTTTAAACTGTTCTTAACCCGAGGTACCACTGTACTTAATTCGTTCCGGAAGTCTGTTCTTAACCTGAAACTGTTCGTAACCTGAAGCACCATTTTAGCTAATGGGGCCTCCTGCTGCTGCCGTGCCGCTGGAACATGTTTCTGTTCTCATCCTGAAGCAAAGTTTTTAACCCAAGGGAATATTTCTGGGTTAGTGGAGTCTGTAACCTGAAGCGTCTATAACCTGAAGCGTTTGTAACCCAAGGTACCACAGTAGTGAAGACAACATGCCAGCAGTGCGGTCTCCTCCCCTGCTTCCTGTGAATAAAGAATAAGTTTATTCCTGTAAATAAACCAATTCCAGCATATTAAGAAGTCATTAGGATTACAATTGCATTAAGTCTCATTGATTTCAATCGGACCAAAGCATGCTCATTTAGACTAGATCCAACCTGTTTAGATTTTCTCTTGCAAAAACTAACATATTGGCTGAGTGAAACACTTATGATTGACCAGCATCAGCTTTATATAACACCAAGAGCAATGTTGGAACTAACCTCCTTATCAGTTTTGCCTGCCTACGATTTCTTAATTAAGCATATCACATCTGCGAAGTGCAGAGCCGGTTTATAAAAATGGCTTCAGGTTCTGGGGATGGTGGAATTATTCTAATCTCATCTGAACAAAACTCTTCAAGATTATTCTACTCAGAGTTTTCTAGGACAGAGATATGATTCTGAAATTATATTTGCTTGTCTGGCTGAAAGCTGCTTGTTTGGAGATTATTTTTTTTGAAGTACAGCTGCATGTTTCATTGTCAGATTAAAATGACCACTGTAGGGGTGGGTGGGTTAATAAATAAATAAATCTCAATATAAATGGGTGAAATTTGTTTCTGTGGTGGGGTGAGGAATGCTCAGTTGAACCTGCATGGCAGCAAGTTTTCTTCTTTTTTTAATCACTGCCTATGAAGTTCTGAAGAGACTCATTTTGGAACCCATAATTGCTAATTTAGTGAGGTCTACAGCCACTCATCACCACCATGTGGAGGAAAGCTATCTATAGAAAAAAATGTCAAACCATTTGTATGGGATGCCAGCTTTTCAAAACACAGCATTCTTAAACATATGCTTTGTCTTATTCTTTCCCAAAATAGTACTTTGGAGCCACACTTAAAAGAATGCTGTAAACTTTGGTGGACCAAAAATTGGGCACATCTTGTTTCGTTCTTTATAAACATTTGTTGACGGCTGCCATATTTATTGTTCACATGGCATATTATGCAGGCGAGTCTTATGATGTGCAAATCCTTTTCATCTATTGGATTATGGAAAAATATTACAGAAAAGATTTTAAATTTTGTGTGAATAAATTAGTCTCCCACCTTCTTCTTTATCAGAGCACCTCTTGTATGATATGAAAACAGAATTGGAGGTACAGGCCAGTTAAATTATCTCTGTAGTGAGGTCCCAAATGTTTTTGAGGATGCAAGCCTGCAACTCTCTCTACCTTCTTCCAAAGCATGGCATTAGTCCCAGCTTTTGCAAAACTTTTAAGGTTCCTTCCAATTACCTATTTATTGCACATTAATCCTGATTTGCTTGCAGGGGGATTAGATCAAATTCAGTCTTTAGTGGGCACTCATAGTGATTTGGTTTCAGGGAAGTTATACAACAAGGAGGGTTGGTCCTGCATTCATCTTGATGGGTTCATGCCACACTTTTCAGTAATTTTCCTAACCATAAAAAGTCTGCTTCTTTTTAAAACTGGATTTGTTGCATTAGGATGACCAAGTACTTTAATCCATCATCATCATCATAGTCCAGCATTTTAGATTCATAGAATTGTAGAGTTCTAAGGGACCACAAGGGTCATCTAGTCCAACCCCCTGCAATGCAGGAATTTTTCACCCAACATGGGGCTTGAACCCTGAGATTAAGAACCAACTGAACTATCCCAAGTTGCTCTAATTGTGCAAACTTAAATTTCCGAGGATGCATGTAAATCCCTCCCACAAAATACCAATGGTTTACAGGTACTCTTAGATAGTGGGGAGGGATTAGAACAGGGTTTCCAAAACTTCGGACTCCAGCAGTTTTTAGACTACAACTCCCATCATCCCTAGCTAGCAGGACCAGTGGTCAGGGATGGTGGGAATTGTGGTCCATAAACAACTGGAGGCCGAATTCTGGGACACCCTGGACTAAAATATAACATACTGTGTAAGTATACTTACTTAGACCTCTCAATTAATACATCCCCCTGCAATGCCCATCAACTCTAGAGATATCTGCCCCATTCAAATATTTTGTTACGGGGTCCCTAGAAGTTGGCTCCGATGACACCAAGTTAATGTAATCATTATTAGTCTAATGGGGGCTTGTCTTATTCATGCACTGGGCTTCTTACATGGGGAAGGGACCCTTGGCCAACCAGTGTTCCCACCCCTCTATTGGAAACCTTATGCATAAGTAAAGCAGCCTTCCTCAGCCTAACACCAATAATGCATTATCTAGGGAGGGACAGAAGGAGCATGGACCTCCAAAAGATGAAAGCAGAGGCCAGACCAGGCTGCAGGTCAAGGGAAGCAGGAATAGCTAAAAAGGAAAAAAAAAAAAGAGGTGGAAGAGAGAGGGAGGCTCCACAAATGAGGGGAAAGGAGTTGGAACATAGGAAGCCAGCCCATTCAGTATTGTCTACACCAGGGATGTCCAACAGGTCGATCACGATCTACTGGTAGATCCCTGGAAGGTTTTGGTAGATCATGGTTGATCGCTGGGTCCCTTTTCTTAGTAGTAGTAATAATAATAATTTATTATTTATACCCCGCCCATCTGGCTGAGTTTCCCCAGCCACTCTGGGCGGCTTCCAATCAAGTGTTAAAAACAATACAGCATTAAATATTAAAGACTTCCCTAAACAGGGCTGCCTTCAGATGTCCTTTAAAGAGAAGATAGCTGCCTATTTCCTTCACATCTGAAGGGAGGGCATTCCACAGGGCGGGCGCCACTACCGAGAAGGCCATCTGTCTGGTTCCCTGTAACCTCACTTCTCGCAAAGAGGGAACCGCCAGAAGGCCCTCGGCGCTGGATCTCAGTGGATCTCAGGCTGAACAATGGGGGTGGAGACGCTTCTTCAGGTATACTGGGCCAAGGCCGTTTAGAGCTTTAAAGGTCAGCACCAACACTTTGAATTGTGCTCGGAAACGTACTGGGAGCCAATGCAGATCTCTCAGGACTGGTGTTATGTGGTCCCGGGTTGGTGAAATAGAATCCTGCCCCGCCCCCTTGCCCCAATCTCCATTGTTGCACGATCTGCAGAATAGAAGATGGAGTTTACTCAGTGAGGCTGTTTGTTTCCCCAGTGATCTGTTGGTGAGTGGCTGTTTCCCTTTCTCCCTAGAGCTTAGGCTTCAACCCCCGAAAACTGGGGCTTTCCTCTCCCCAAAAAAGCTCAACAACTTTGACCTGAACCCCCTAAAAGGGGGTAGATCACTGCCAGTTTTTAATTCTGTGAGTAGATTGCAGTCTCTTGGGAGTTGGCCACCCCAGTGTACACTAACCATGGCGGCTGTCCAAGGTTTCAGACAGGAGTGTCTCCAAGCCTTAAAGGGGATGCTGGAGATTTCACCCGGGACTTTCTGCATGCGAAGCAGATGCTCTACCATTAAGCTACTGCCACGAAGGAAAATTGGAAAAAGCAAAGAGGAGAGATGGACATGACTACAGATGAGAGAGGTTGAAGTTTCTATATGGTTTTGTAATAACAGCCACATTTTTGGCTTCAGGCTTGCGGTATTTATGCATTGTATGATAATACAATCTGACAATAAAACAGTGTTGTAGCCCAGCAGGGATGATAACTCTGGAATTACAGCTACTGTCTTGAAATGGCATAATTCATGGAGGAGGGGGACCACTTTGTATCATTGAAGACATATTTGCAACGGAGGCGTCATTGTTAAAGTAGGTTTATGAGATTTTTATATATATATAAAATACTTCTCTGCATCTTTCTTTCAGGAGAATCTGCTCTCTTTTTCTCTCTTTCCATAAATGCATTGTCAGAAGAAAGACAGCAATTGTCGCTTCTCCATTTTTCATACCTGGCTGGCTGGCATAATTGTAGCTGAAAAGGAGAATGAAGTTTGAAAAAGAAAAACTAGTATAGTCAAACGATCAGCAGTTTGATATTTTCTTATTTGAAGGGTGCTTGCTTTTCAGTAGAAATAATCTCTTGGCAAACTACTTAAATAAAACTTCAGAAATGTAGCAAAGCGTCTTGTGTTACTTTAAAGACTAAGGACAAATTCAACATAGTGCTAAAGTTATTGTTGCATAATTGCAAGCATTTCTCTGATAGAACAATCTCCCTTTCCTCATCTGAATGCTCTTCTGGTGTTATCCCCAACACCACCCAAACTGATTTGAGGGGCCCAGGGGCACACAGGAGGAGAAGAGGGGGGTGAAAACCCAATTGCACTAGTTGAACCCAGTCCTAGCCTATTTATTATGGCATAACCTTCCTTTGAGCACTGTCCTTTTCATCAGATGTATAATGTGTTGTTCTTGTATATATACAAATGGTGTGTGTGTGTGTGAGAGAGAGAGAGAGAGCTCTCAGGTCAGAGGGAAATGAAGTGTAGAAAGTACATACAGTGATATCATCATCATCATCATCATCATCAGTGCTTTTTTTCTTAAAAATGTTTAGGGGTACTCTCATTTTGACTCAAGAAAATCACTATTTTATAGTTCAAATTGGGAAAAATAAATGCAGTAAATGGTCAAAAGTAGAAAGATTCACAAAATGTTTAGGGTATGTGTACCCCTGCATCCCCCCAGAAAAAAGCACTGATGATGATGATGATAATAATAATAATAATAATAATAATAATAATAATAATATAGCTATTTATTTATACCCCGCCCGGCTGGCTGGACCTCCCCAGCTACTCTGGGCGGCTCCCAACAGAATATTAAAAACACGATTCCAACATGTCATTCCAACACTTCTTGCATTAGCACAGATATCCTGCCATTGGTAAGCCAAATAACAAATACAGTGGTACCTCAGGTTACATACACTTCAGGTTACATTTGCTTCAGGTTACAGACTCTGCTACCCCAGTAATAGTACCTCGGGTTAAGAACTTTGCTTCAGGATGAGAATAGAAATCGTGCTCCAGCAGCGTGGTGGCAGCAGGAGGCCCCATTAGCTAAAGTGGTGCTTCAGGTTAAGAACAGTTTCAGGTTAAGAACAGACCTCTGGAACGAATTAAGTACTTAACCCAAGGTACCACTGTAATGTGTAATGTGCCACCCCATATTCCTTTGAGAGGAAGGGTGGGATACAAATTTAATGAATTATTCATCATCATCATCATCATCATCCTGAAACTTGGTTCAGCCCACAAGAGATCCTCTTGATGTATTGTTATTCAGTGGGTTTATGGTGCAGTTTCCCATTGAATTTCCTAGGTCTGGAAATGTATAGCAAGTCTTCACTTTTATGTAAGGCTGCTTTACCTTACATATCTCCAGTGATCCCCTTGCTTAATGCTACTTTTTTATAGTGTGGCAGAACTCAATTATATGTTGTCATGAGAGAGCAAGCAGGGACTTGCACTCCTAATGACAATGTGGCATCTAATGTAACACAAGTAGAACAGGGTAGCATATCTTTCCTCCAGTAGCTTTTGAAGAAGCCATACAAACAGTTATTCCCAAGCTGCTTGCCAAGTCACACTTGAATGCTGTAAGATGAGTTGAAGTGTGTCCTGGAGAATGAAGTCATATTACCGAACACATATTACAGGAGGAGACAATGAGATGCTCTACAGACATTATTTGGCTACAATTCCCCATCACCCCCTGACTATTGGCCATGCAAGCTGGAGCTGATGAGAGTCCAACAGTGGTTGAAGGACCCCAAATTGGTTGTCCTTGCTCTATTCTATGACTGTAGTCCCTGAGCTGCACTGAGCTTTATTTTCTCTCCCAGTATATGAACCATGGCATCCTCCTGAGAAGGGATGCTGTAGGATCCCTTGATCCTGACAGATACCTGGGAAACTCAGAAGCATCCCTTTGATGAAGTTTGCAACCTTGGGTGTCTTGTAGATAAGACAGAAAAGGCAAGATATAATAAAAGAATGTACAGTGGTACCTTGGGTTAAGTACTTAATTCGTTCCGGAGGTCCGTTCTTAACCTGAAACTGTTCTTAACATGAAGCACCACTTTAGCTAATGGGGCCGTCTGCTGCCGTCGCTCCGCTTGAGGACGATGTCTGTTCTCATCCTGAAGCAAAGTTCTTAACCTGAAGCACTATTTCTGGGTTAGCGGAGTCTGTAACATGAAGCGTATGTAATCTGAAGTGTATGTAACCCGAGGTACCACTGTACAATTACAAAACATGCAGTCAAAAAATAGGGTGTCAAAATTCCACAGTGGTGTACACAATCAATTAAAGCATGCAATATATAAGCAGCAGAAAATTCAAATTCAAAACCTGCTTGATAAAAAGAAAAGAAAAGTATTAGGGTGATCCTGATCCATGTATACAAGGCTCACATTGGTGTGTATCTGCATTGAGGCATATGTAGGTTCCCTTCTCATGCTCCTCAAACATACAGCAAGGTCAGTGCCTGCATTGACAATGAGGTGATGTGGAAGTTTCACCAGCTCTGTGGTGCTATATCAGAAAGTGGCCCATTCACACATGCAAACCATTACTTTGCATTATAATTACTGAATAGTGAGCCTTTACAAACCATCCCCAGGAATACAGTAAATCAGCTGTCAAAACATTTAGGGATGTATGTGTTTGTGTGAACCAGTCCCCTTCAAAAGGCATAAGGCAGAGTCAAGTTAGGAATGACTGTTTGTTCAATATATATTGTGGCCAAAAACAAATAGCCATTAGCAAATGGGACAGTTTTTGACTTGTAGCCATGAAAACACCTTTGGCTATCACCGAAAATTTCATTCCTCACGCAGATTACTATCTAGAAAGAGCAGGGGATGAAGTACAATAACATTGTACCAATTTATAATGTTTATCAAATAAGTATTGAGTTTTCCTTCCAAATGCTGGGATTGATTTTTAACCTCCTCCCCTTTCCACTTTTACAGCTAGGGCAACTATAAATAAGTTGCAGGAAAATTACTTCTCCACTGTTTCACAATGCTTTTCTTATCTAACAGGCACAGCTGTCACAAACCTAAATGCTTTTATTTACAATATCTATTGCTGAAAAATGGTAGAGACGGTGTCCTTTAATCAAGGGAGTTAGCATTATCAAAAGTACTTTATGAATTTTAACTAACTTGCCAATTTGGAACTTATTACAGTGCCCTGTGCCTGTTTATCTTATCCAACTCAAAATATTTCATCTTTCCCCCATTTCTTGGCATAGTAGTTTTCTGGTGGCTGTATCAGGATTAAGCAACTGAAGTGTTAAGTCTCTCATTTCTGTCTATATTAAAGGTCAACTTCTATCTCTGGTTCTTCACCTTTAACAAAAACTGGACCAGGGGAAGCCAAAATGAAGTGTAAAGTGGTGCTAAGTAAATATGCTCTGTGAAGCCCACAGCTGTACAGGGTTTGGAAGAACTAAAAAGGAAAAAGTCATTCCGAAAAGAAGCAGCAAAAATTACCTTTCGCAATTTGTCTTCCTTATTGATATTTGCATTGAATCCAGATAAAACCTGACACCAGCGAAGTTCACTCAGTTTATGACTATTATAAGTAAATTTGCTCTGCAATGTCTGGTTCAAGCATAGTGTGATCTAGAACAAGGGAAATGCTTTTTAAGTCCCATTGATTTCAATGTGAGAGATGTTTCTTTCAAGTTTAGTTTCAGTGCTAGGAAGGGCTCTGTGGGCACCAGGAAAGGGAATGTGACAACTCCTGGTGACATGCAATTATTCTGTGGTATAAAAATGGCAACCACAAAAAAGGCTCTTCAAGTACACTGACCGCAATGCAGCAGAGAGTTCAGAATGACTAAATCTATTGAAATAAATAGGTCTGCACATGCCTAACTTTGTGTTGATTGATTCCACTGCTTTTTTGCAGTTGAATATTGAATATATCCAAAAGAGCAAGTGAGCACACACACACACGCGCAAAATGGCTATCCCGTCCCATTGATTGCTATAGGTTTCATTCTATTGTAGCCAATAGAATAGGTGTGGGTGGGTGTGGGAGAGAGAGAGAGAGAAAGAGAAAGAGAGAGAAAGAAAGAGAAAGAGGTCCACGAGTTTCTTCTCTTTACAAAAATGCCCATGAGCCAAAAAGAGATTGGCAAACCCAGATTGTGTATCTAGTACCCAGGCCTACATAATCCTTTATAACGAAGTTCACTACATGGATAGAACTAGTGTGTCTGTCAGAAAGACTGAGGATAAATGCAAGTTCTGTCATGCTGGCTCTGTGATGGCTCCAATTCCAACATCTCTGAAGAGGGGGGTACCAAGGAAAAACAATACACACCCTTCTTTTTTCACATGCACCTAGGTCTTCATGGGAATAAATTTGGCCAATAGTTTCACCCACTCCTTACATTTGAAGGGAATGAAAGGTAACAGTGATGGGATCTCTTAAGCCATTAGGAGTTGTTTTCTTTTTTAGAAAGAGATGCTTGATGAAGATCCCATTCTAATGGGTCTTTTTTACCATAAATATGCAATAATGAACATGTTCTCATCTGCAGTCTTATTGATCTCCAGAAGCCTTACCTACTCCACCTGGACTGTGTGAGAGATTGTTTCTTGAATTATTTGTGAATTTCCACAAGCACGCAGCTGGTAACTAGCATATGCAGCTGAAAACATCATTTTATCCTACCCCTTCAGGTTCCTTTAATGGCAATGTTTTCAAATGCTCTGTGAACATCATTATTCTATCTCTTGTTATAGTTCAGTACCAGGGCAATATTTTCTAGTGTCCAGGCCATCAGATTTCCTCCCCCCACGTTCCTGCGAATTCATGAGAGTGGCCACACCTTACAAACTGGATGGGGTACTATTCTCTGATGGCTATGCCATCAAATTCCATTATCTGTCCAAATCCATTACCCTGCTTCCTGTATGTGGAGGGAGACAGTTGAATGGCACTGTGACAAAAAGCTTGAAAGGCAGGATTTAAAAAAGGGATTTCCTTTGCCCGATAATAAATGTTGGAAATGTAAAGAAACTGAAGGTACATTTTTTCACCTTTGGTGGACGTGCCCAAAGATTAAGGCTTTCTGGGAAATGATATATAATGAATTAAAAAAGGTATTTAAATATACCTTCCCCAAGAAACCAGAGGCCTTTCTCCTGGGCATAGTCGGCCAATCGGTGTTAAAAAAGGATAGAACTTTCTTTATGTACGCAACAACAGCAGCAAGAATACTCATCGCAAAGTATTGGAAGACACAAGAGCTTCCCACACTGGAGGAATGGCAGATGAAACTGATGGACTATATGGAACTGGCGGAAATGACTGGTAGAATCCGTGACCAGGGAGAAGAGTCGGTGGAAGAAGATTGGAAGAAATTTAAAGATTATCTACAGAAACATTGCAAAATTAAAGAATGTTAGAGTGATGATGGATTGAAATTAAGTGGTTTCTAGCTGCACAGGCGTTAAAGTTATATATAGACTAAGATTAAGGATTAGGCATAAAAGGTTAAAAGAACGGAAAACTGGCTATTAATAGATAAGAATTTAATGTTATACCATATTAAGATTAAGGATTGGGATTAAAAAAGAGGGAAAGAAATTGCTGGACAAACAAATTGAACTGGAATACAAAAGAGGGAGGTATGAGGAGGTCCAGAAAATAAGTAAATTCAAAAGTGGTGATGAAAAGGTGGTATTGTTTTTAACTGTTTTTTCTTTCTTTCTTTCTTTTTTGTATTTTGTATTGTGTATTTCTGTATTGTGTATTTTTCTTTTTACTTTTAATTCTTTTCTACTGATGTGTTCTTTTTTTTAATCGGAAATTTTAATAAATATCATTTAAAATAAAAAATAAAAAAGGGATTTCCTGATTCATAGTCCTTGATTCTATCCTACACAAAATAATCACTTGTATATGGTACCCATGGGCATATCAACTTAAACAAAACAGATGACATACTATAGGTAGATTCCATCAGTTGTCTTTACAAATGAAATTTTAAAAGCAAGTAAAAAAATACAGGGTTGTATCCAATGGTGTCCATGCACAGGACCCTCTAGAGCAGATTTGGGTCCACAAAAAAGGGTCTTCCTGTTCATAACGGGGGGGGGGGACCTTCTGTGTATATTTATTCTCATATCTATCCTGCCTTCTCCCCCATCATAGAACTCAGGTTAGTGTACACATGTCTCCAAAGTGATATCCCATCCAGGCAGTTAACCAGACTCAGACCTGCTTAGATTCAGCAAGGTGATGGCCCCATGTGCCTTCAGGCCACTCACTGGTGTGAAAGTTAGATTATCCAGCTGTAGATGTGAAAATGTATTAGCTACTGGTAATAGAAAGGGATTTGGAATGGTAAAAGAATCGCCAGCTAAAAACAAACATTTCTTGCTACATTTGGGAAGCATACATGGTGCAAATGCTCTGACAGAAGCACTGATGTTTCAGCATGCTAACCTGCACACTACCTCACCCCTCTGCTTCCCAGTATTCAACAGTGACCCACCTGCCAGGAAGCTAGAATAATGGCTTTCCCCAACCCAACAAGCCACTTCTGATGAGGCTAATTTTAGGAGGAAAAAATATAATCCCTGTGACCCACACATGTGGGGTAAAAAAACAAAAGAATTGGCTGGGTACCTGGGTTCAAACTATGGGGCTAAGCTCACTCTCCAGCAGGAGAGAGCCACCAGTAACACAGTGTAAACTCAAAAAAGTCAAGCAGCAGTATAGTGTTAGGAATATAAGTTGTTGGAACCCTTTATCCCATTTAGTCCACTTGCAAACAGTACTCCTCTTTCTACCTCTCTTGCAATGATCTGACCTCCCACTGTTAAGTAAGTTTAAAATGCTTTACTTACAAAATGTTACAAAGGTCAAATAGATGCATTTATCCAAGCAGTAGCAAGGAGAACACAGGCATTTTCATAGAAAATACAGAAAGATAGCTTCAAACATGTGCTCTAAGCTTTGAGTTTTCTTAGGCACACCTTCCTTGGTTAGTTATATGTCACAAAGAGAGTGAGAAAGAGAATGCTTCACTTCCTCCCTCATCAGAGAAGAAGGAGCACAACCATGGTAAGTCTAGGAATGTAACTCTGTGGTTTTAACCCCTCATGCACTAACTAGCACTCACACACAGTTATGTTTGACTACTTTTCCCCACAAGAACAACAAACAGTAGACCCATGTCGCATTTCTCACTCTCTATGGCTATGTGAGTTCACCTTTCCCCCTGACCTGATGCCATTACTGCGCATGTTTTTGTGTCCTGATCATAGTATTGGTTGCTGCTTACAGGGGTGTGTGTGTACTCGATTTAATGTCACCAGGATCTGAGGTACAGTGAACTCACAGCTACAGAGAGGAAGGGGGAAATCAATATGAGGCTGCTTTTCTGCAGCACCAGGCCAATAGTTTTGTAATGTCTTGCTCTGCTCTCAGCTTTTGAAAGAATGAGATTATACATTTTTAAAAGAATGAGTTTATTCGACCAATTAAAGTTTTATGAATTATCATAAGAATTTGTGATCCTTCTCAATGTTCCATTTATTGCTCCCTTAACATGAAAGAAGCATGTGTGTGTGTGTGTGAGAGAGAGAGAGAGAGAGGAGAGAGAGGAGCAAGTGCTACAGACTCCTATCATAATTCATACTGCAGATCAAACATTCAGAACTCACCTGAAAAACATGAAATAGAAAATGGCACACCGTTAAACCGTTCTCATAACAAAATCTCTCAAGAGATTGCAGGAAATATCACATTAAAAAAGGAATGCTCCTACACTCTCATTTAACCCGCCTCCTAGTAATTCAATACCACAACATGTTGGGCAGAAATGATCACAGGACTTTATTTACAATACCTAATGCATAGCCAGGGGGTGGCGGTAAGCAATAATTCTGCAGAATGCACTTGACTTGCAGGAAAACCACCATAGCAATTATAGGAAAGCGGCCTTTTCATAAAGGAGGATGGCATCTCACTGAAAAGCTGGGCCTCCTACACAATGCACAACGGATACATTTCATTTCATCCATATTGCAACATGCCAGTTCCCCAAATGTAATGGAGATAAAAACATACACAAATCCATCATTTAACCTGCTTATGCTAGAGATTTCCAAAGGCCTGATTTCCAAAGTCAGTGCAATTGTCACCTGAGCAAAAAAGAATTAAATATAAAATCTTCTCAGCCAGTGCAATTCTCAGTTGGAACTGCCACACTATTGTTGCTGGTCCATTAAGCAGCTCCAGTGCAGTGTGGTGTGCTACCCAGGCCCAAAGGAGTTGGTAGAACTGATGGTAGCTTTCTGCAACTTTTTTGCAAAGCATTCGGAGGATATTATTGCTTGCATCTGCTGAGACCTTGACTCCACTGTTACAGCAGATGAATTTTGAGAGGTGTCCATAACACTGTGTAAAACTGTTGTGTTGGATGAGTTCCAGTAAGCAGGGCCTGGACAAAATGCTTGGATTGGTCCATGCAACTGCCTGTATCCTTGCCCTCTTGACTGATAAAAACTAGTATGGAGGGGACAGCTGGCTGGGCCAGGGAGGTGATTAATACCTCCTTGTAAGAAGGAGTGGTCCCTGCCTGCTTGAAGGAGGCAGTGGGAAAACTACTCCTCAAGAAAAGCTTCCTGGATAGTTGTCAATCTCCCCTTCTTGGGAAAAGTTCTGGAGTGGGTGGTTACAGACCAAATCCAGGCGTTCTTGGAGGAAACTGATTTTCTCGATTCATTTCAATCAGGGTTTAGGCCTGGTTTTAGCACAGAAACTGCTTTGTTGGGAGGGAGACAGGGAAAATGTGTCCCTGTTAATCAGTGCTTTTGTTGGGGGGACATAGGGGTATGCATGTCCCTAAATATTTTGTGAATCTAAGTTTGGCCTCACTGAGGCGCAATATCTCAATATGAGTAAGAAAATGAGAGTATCCCTAAACATGTTTTTTTTTTAGGGAAAAAAGCACTGCTGTTAATTCTCTTTGACCTTTCATTGGCTTTTGATACCATGGACCATGGTATCCTGTTGTCCGAGTTAGGGATGGGTGGTTCTGCTCAAACTGGGATGGTTGTTTCCAGAGGCTGATGGTTGGAGGATGCTCTTCAGCCCCATGCAGCCTTCAGTGTGCACATCCTCAGAGTTAAATTTTACTCCCCATGCTGTTTAACATCTACATGAAATTGCTGAGTAGGGTCATCCAAAGTTTTGGAGTACATTGTCAGTAATATGCTGGTGCCACATAGCTCTAGTTCTCCTTTACATCTGCAGGTGTGGCAGTGGATGTGCTGGACCGAAGTCCTGCTTCAGTAATGACTGGATGAGAGCCAATAAACTGAAGCTCAAGCCAGATAAGACTGAAGAACCATCCCTAGACTGGATGGATGGGAGGTGGCCTATGTGGACAGGGATAGCTTAACTTCTGTTGTCTGGGCTCTGGTAACCTCTAGGTTAGATTACAGCAATACATTAAATGTGGTGCTATTTCTGAAGATGGTTTGGAAACTTCAGCTGGTGCAAAATTCAGTGGCCAGGTTGCCACTGGAGCAGGACAGTTTGAGCATATAATGCCAATGCTGGTCCCACTGCACTGGCTGCCAATTAAAAGTGCTGGTTTTGACCTATAGAGACATAAAGTCTCAGGACTACAATACCTCAAGGACCACCTCTCCCCTTATGAAGTGCCCCAAGCCCTGCAATCATAATAGGAGGTACAAGAGGTCCGGAGGACGCCAACATGGGAACAGACCTTTTCTGTGGTGGCTCCCCATTTGTGGAATGCTCTCCCTAGGGAAACTTGCTTTGCACCATCATTATCTATCTTGAGATGCCAGGCCTTTAACTATCTCTGGCCTTTTAGAAGCTGATGAGGTGTTTTTAATGTATTTCTCTCCCCCCCTTCTTTTTAATGTATCTCTGTGTGGTTTTTTGGCCTGTTCTGTCTTATATTTGTTATTTATATGCCGCCCTTCTGACTGGGTTGCCCCAGCCACTATGGGCAGCTCCCAACAAAATATTAAGAACATAATAAAACACCAAACATAAAAAAACTTCCCTATTGTTGGTTCAGGCTTCGTTCAGATGTTTTCTTAAAGTCAAATAGTTGTTTATTTCCTTGACATCTAATGGGATGTCTGCTTGTTTGTAACAACAACAACAACTTTATTATTTGTACTCTGCCCATCTGACTGGTTTGTCTGGGCAGCGTTGGGCAGGTTGCCCTGGGCAAGATGAAGCAACTAACAAGTTTAATCAACAACAACAGCAACTTATTCACCCTTTAGACACAAGCACTTCAGTCTACGCCATTTACAGCACAGTGAGAGGATGGCAATAGATGGTCATAGTAGATACTGGACATTTTCTAATGAGCAGGAATAATTTTATGAGCCATCCCTCAGTTGGGGAATCATGTTCTCTGCTATCAAATTGGATGGGCTGGCTTCCATTCCAGAAACAGCAGTAAATGTTGTTCATTAATGTGCTGTAATGCATTTTCATTCAATTAGTCGGTGTTAATTGATATTTTGTTGGTAAGCATTGTTGTCTTTACAAGGTACTGGGAGAGTTCCACCAGCGTATTTGTCATGGTGGAGATGTACCTGCTGTTACACTGGCATAGCTTGCTTCTGTTAGATCCTAAATCCCTCAAGTCATTGCAGGAAGGGTGCCTAATGGACACATTCCCTTCCAGGGGGCAACATGCCAATAGTGGGCAAGACCAGAGGCAAACATAGGCAGGGCAACAAATATAAATATTACCTTTGTACAGTAGGCTAGCTTCTTTATACTCATACATCTACCTCTGTGCACCATCCAGAGAAGCAAGAGGCATTATCAGATTTGAAGGACACATTTCAGTAATGCAAAAGCACATGAGGATATCATGCAGTTCTGGAGAGGGGTGTGGCCTGGGGATAGTCCCAAGGGCCAGATAGAAAGGCCTAGGGGCCACATTTGTCCACTGTGCTTCAGGTTCCCCATTATAGAATAGCACCTTAAACTAGAATCACCATATTTCAAAAAGTAAAAACTAGGACACCCCAAAAACTGTCAAGATTGCTAGTCACACAATCAGACTGCAAGTCACACAACCAGAAACTGCTGCATTCCTCTCCAGCCCTCAGCCTCTATCAATTAAAAGCATATCAATTAAACTGAATCAAATGTGTCTTTTTCTCTCTTTGCATTTAAATTCTCACCTTTTACTCCCAGCATTGCGTCTTTTATCTGTCGTTATGGCTTCTTTTTCCATTTGTTTAAAATAACGTAGGGCTCGTTGCAACATGATAAAGAAAACAGAAAGGAAATCCATCCAACATCTGAAAGCAATCTCTAAAAATTCAAAACAGGTAGCTGCCAAAATACAAAGCTGTGACTCTCTAAAGATGCAAGTTTAGTCTGTCTTCTTTGTTCATCTTGCTGATGTTGTATGTTGGGAAGATTTGTCTGTGATTAGCCCAACTAGGAGGCTCTTGTGGGGCTTTTCTTTTCTTTTTCTTTTGTTTTGAAATCCACTACATACACACCAAAGCAGAAGGATGGGCATATGTACTACAGATGTGTACAGTATCTATGTCAGGATTGAGAAATCCGTGGCCCTCCAGATTTCTTACTATTAACTATCCTGGCTGGGGCTGACAAGAGTTGCAGTTCAACAGCCTCTGGAAAGGCAGTGGTTTGGGGCCAAGGAGAGATAAAGATGTACCTCATGTCCATAAATAAATTTTAACTCCCTCTTGCTATTCTGAATGAGGAAAATTTGAAGCCAATGTTTTGAGCCAAAATAGGCCCTTGGTGCAGTACAACAGGCCCACTAGAATGTTTGAGGCACACAAATATTTTTACAGATTCAAACCTCTTTGTCTCTGTTGTATGGAAAAAAGTGCTATGTAAGCTTGGTGGCTCATGAATATAAATGTCTGTGTGAGCCAATCAGATGACAACAACGCCAGGCATGCATGAGTTGTTGTTCTTGTTGTTATATTTACATCCCACCTTTCCTC